CAAAGAGACATACAGTAGGGAAGGGGAACAAAGTGACACAAGATTTGTGAGAGGCAACGCTGGGCTGGGGAAAAAGAGACAGAGAGTGGCTGGGAGAAGAGAAAGAGGCACACAGAGTCTGGAGTTAGAAAGAGACACACAGATGAGATTTGGAAGGGGAGAAAGAGACAAAGTGGCTGGGGCTAAGAACAACACAAAAGGGGCTGGGGAAAGAGAAATACAGAGGCTGGAGAAGGGTAAAAAGAAACACACAGGGGCTGGGATGAAGTAAAAGATACATAAGGGTCTCTGTAAGAGAAAAAAAGGAGACAATTGGAGACAAGATATACTAAACGAGGTAAAGGTAATAGACGTAAATTGACGTGATCCTGACAGTAATACACACATATATATGCAGGTATATTGATGTGTGTATTAGTAACATATAATTATGCCTATAATATTTACACATATAGTAATATACATTTATATATGCATAATACACACATAAATATCATTAATATATATATGCATGTAATGAGCACGTATTGGCCCTGTCTTGTTGCTAGTTGCATACTCCAGCACAATAATGTATTCACAGTGAAGAGCGCACCCATGGAACTTCAAAATTAACCAGATTACTTCATTTTTTTAGTTGTGCAACTGCAGACATTCAGCATTTCAGTCCCATTACTAAAATGTCCTTAATAGGCCAAGGTAGTTGTACTGAAACATTGATTACATGCAAATGTACGTCTACTTAAAATAAAGGCGCTCTTTTGTTTATTTTGAAGCCCTATATGCTTCCTTCGTTGGAGTAAAAGTTTTCAATTTCAAGTTATTTTTTCACCCTCTTTATCAGCACTCTATGCTGGCGCGACGCATTATTGGGCTGGTATAGAATTTTTTTCCAGGGCTGACTTTAGGTCCCAGTCCGGCCCTGCTTTGAAAGCAGAAGTGATCATGGAGGCTACAGAAACCCTTTAACACCAAGTCCCACGTTCCCATTTCTGAATGAAATGTAAACATGAGATGGGAATAGTGTAGGTGGGACAATGACTGTGTGAATCCAGCCAAGGCTGCGGAACGTACATCCCAAGAACCCCTGGATCACTTCCACTGGAAGGCAATTCCAGGCAAATACCACATTTTATCTAAAAAAGATTATTTTACATTGTTCCTCAATTCTCCACAATGAAGCTTCAGATCCTGCTTTCCTGTTCTACAAATACCCTTTCTTTGCACATTTAGTGGTGCTATCGTGGAGTCCTATGTTGAATTAATTTAGCCATTCAGTTGCTGTATGAGTTACTGTAACAGATTACACATTGGTCGCTAGCTTCCTTCCTCACACACAGTCGGATTGCCATCCTTCACATGTAAGTCATGTGCTTTCCACGCGTCCGCCGGGGCCTTTGATCTCACACAACGTCACATCGAGAGTCTCCACGTGATGGTCAGAACGCAGCATGGCAATAATGGGCCCATTCTAGAACTGGGATTTTACATTCCTCACGCTGGGGTCATTTGGGTTCAGAATGAATTGCCAATTATTTCATTAAGAAAAACAAACTGTTTTATTCAGTTAAATAGACCTCTAATCCTTTCGCTATTTGTGGCTTTCTTATAGCGTGTGTCATTTGTTCTAAAGAAAATCAAGAAATGATAACAAATCAGACACTGAGAATAATAATAACAACGATAGCCCAAATGTTACCATTCAGCCCTAATGTCTACGTGGAATAGCAGAGAATGAGTCCAGTGATGCCAAGTGTCAGCTCATTTGTAATCACGTATTGAGACTTTTCATACTCCAGACACAAGGAAGTTTACCGCAATAAACTGATCTAAAAGTTGCTTGCACCTACTTGGCGTTAATTATTTTTCACATGATCAGCGGCTAATTTGCACTAACGAGCGTGTTGGTCCATATTTGTTGGTGTTATCATTTTATATATAAACACAGATAGTAACCTCATGCACTCCTTTTCTTATGGAAATATTTATTGGGTATTAATGTAAGCACATTATACCATCATTGTTACGAAACCGCATTAGAGTGTTAGCTTTCAAAACAAGTGACCCTGTCCTCGGGGCCTGATATCCTGTTACGTGTCCCCTCTCAATATAAGGAAAGGTAATGCATGTTTGCCGAGCAGAGCATGGCGCAGGGGGTGGGAGGGGAGGACAGGAAGCAGGGATGGAATGAGATGCAGTTCAGAACATAGCCGAGCCTTGTTCAGCCGTCTGTCCCCCTGCCAAAGGCAGTGCTTGCAGGACAGCTGAGTGAGACAAATAGCACATTCACTGCCAGTTGGTTAACCTCTTAATGTGCCAGAGGGGATGCAATATATTGCTGCCACACTCTACCACAAGGGGGCCTCGTACCAGAGGCTAGTGCTGTTTCCTTGTAACATTGTTAAACATGCACCTGGTACTTACATGACTGCTCCCCCAACCCCCCCTCCTCCCCCAGCATGGGATGGAGTGGTTGCAAAATAATGTATTACTTCAACTGTTGGTGTGGAAAGGGTGAAATGAAGAACCATTAAAAATTCACTCTGCCCCACTTTAACCCCTTAAGAACACATTACATGTGTGACATGTCATGATTCCCTTTTATTCCAGAAGTTTGGTCCTTAAGGGGTTAAAGTGAGTACTGCAAAACATCACGCTCTCCCATCAGGATGCACTGGTCAATCCATTTCCCTTAAATGGTGCAGGGATCAAATGAAACATCCTGATATCTGGTGACTGCGGATTTCCCCAAACTATTCCAGAGAAATGATATACTACTTTTACATATTATTTAAACTGATTAGCGCAAGTTGAATTATCCCACCAATCCTCGGTCAGACACATTAATAGGGATAATGCAGAGCTCCTGCATGCGTTCTCTTCCCGTAGGAGTGCGGCCATAGCCATATCCTCACTCTGGGGACAATTTAATGGACCAAATTGGGATTGCACACGTTCAGTTGCTGTACCCCTTCTTGAAATAAACTCTGTCTTTTGGATATTACTGTGTGTGCCCGTGTTTCCTGTGTTTTCCTGGGAGGTCCGACATCATATTGGCCCAAGAGTGTCCTCCGTCATAGCACCCTTTACTGCCTTTCATGTACAAATATAAATTCTTGTATTTTAATTGAATGCAGCAAAGTCTCAGATTTCTTTGGTTTGGAAATCCGTACAAATGCTCTCAGTCCTATTGTTTCATACCTGCTTGTGGTCTCTCCAGCTAGAGTACCAACCTAAACACCACAGGGTGTTTATCCCAAACAAAATATGTATAGCATGCAATTATTCTCTGAGTCAATAGCCTCATGGGTCCCTTCATTTCCCGCTGGGACTGGCTGCCCCATTCACAGTTTCCACCTTATTCCTTTCCATTGACTTCTCTTCTTGAACCTTCCCCTTTTTATAGTTTTCTTGTCTGCGAAGTCAATATATATTCTCTCTCTCTCTCTCTCTCTCTCTCTCTCTCTGTCTCTGTCTCTGTCTCTGTCTCTGTCTCTGTCTCTACATTCCGACATTGCTTGCATCCAAGAAACCCACTTTAAAAGAAAAAAAAAAAGGCATGATCCCGGGCCTTATGACACTTCCCTGTCCAGTTTCATTCTGCGTACAGTGAGGTAAAAAAGTATTTGATCCCCTGCTGATTTTGAACATTTGCCCACTGACAAAGAAATGGTCAGTCTATAAATTTAATGGTAGGTGCATTTTAACAGTGAGAGACAGAATAACAAAAAAAATCAAAATCCAAAAAACGCATGTCAGAAAAGTTATAAATTGAGTGAAATGAATATCCCTGATGTTTGTATATCTGTGTTGGTTCATTTAATTGTTTACGAGAGCTCTTCAAACTGCCCAAAAAAACATTAGCAGACGATGGTTAAATTGATAACGATAAACATTCAAGGATTAAATATCCCACAAAAAAGACGTGCCTTTGAAAACTATTTGTATAAGAAAACAGTCCAAATTGCTATGGTCTAAGAGACACACTGGTGTAAACAACATGAAAACAGATGGGTCAGTCGATTCTTTCCCTTAAAACTATGTGCTTCTAGAGAGGACGGTAAAAGAGGAGGAGTTGCAATATTTTTTTCTAAAGATCGAAAAATTGATGTAAAGTTTACAGAACTAGATCTGGAAGGAAGATTCGTTATTCTTGTCTGTACAATTAATGATGAACTGTTTACTCTAGTTAATCTTTATTTGCCCAACAAAAATCCCATGGGCCTATTTAGAAAAGTCTTAAATAGCGTTGAAAAAGTTGGAGTAGGCCTGAAGATTTATGCCGGGGACTTTAATTACATACAAGACCCCCTAATAGATAAGTTTTCAGAAAGGCAAAAAAATGCAAGAACTTTTAATAATTTGTTGAAAAGAGAAGGATTATTTGATATTTGGAGACTGAATAATCTTGCTATTAAAGGAATTAATTTACATTTTATTCTTGGCCCCATGATTTTTACTGTAGAATAGATTTTATTTTTGGAGAATTAAAACTGATAGATACAATTTATAAAATAGAAATTAAACCAGTAGTATGGTCAGATCACGATAGTGTGTGTCTGGAACTACACAATAATAAATTAAGGAGGAGCAATAATATAACGTGGAGGCTGGATGATACTTTACTGATAAATAAAGAATATAGGGAACATATAGATAGAACGACTATGCTTTATTTTCAGGAAAATAATAATAATAGACAAGTAGATAACGACACCTTATGGTGTTCATACAAAGCAGTAATAAGAGGACACTGTATAATGTTAAAGAAATTAAGGAATAAAAAGAATGGCGCTAATCTACAGGATCTCCATATTCAATTTTATAATTTAACAAAGAAAAATAATGCAAATCCACGTAAGGAAAATCAGATTAAAATAGCGAACATTAAAGCAGAGATCCAAGAAAAGATTGGTGAAAAAATTAGAATAAATATGTCAAAACTTAAAATTAAATATTATCATAATTTCAATAGAGCTGACAAAATAATGTCCAATATGTTTAAAAAAAAAAGAAACAATCAGGTTGATAAAATAATAAATAACGATACCATCTCCCTTATTCCGGGATATAGGGAAAGCCTTCAATGAGTATTATGGTAATTTATATAGCCTTTCGAAAACTACTGCTCCCCAAATAATAAAAGATTATATTAAATCAGCCAAATAGAATAAAATAACAGAAATTCAAGCGAATAATTTAAATAAAGAGATCCCGAAGGAAGAGATTAACAGAGCAATAGACAGGCTAGAAAATTATAAAACTCCAGGTCCGGACGGTTTGGGGAATAAATTTTACAAAGAAATGAAAACTCAATTAGCAGGTTACCTAAAAAAGACTTTTAATACGGCAGTTAAAAAAGGCAGATTTCCAAATGAAATGCTAAAAGCAAACATTCTTCCCATACTGAAACCGGGGAAAGATTTGGCCAAAACTAACTAAAATCGAACAATTCTTAATTATACATTGTTTAATGGCTTGTAAAATAGTGATGGCGAGAAACTGGAAGGGAGACAATCCCTTTTCCATTAAACAAATAGTTTCACAACTGGTTTACCAACTTACAATGGAGAAGGACCACTGCAAAAGTCTGAATAACAACTCGAGCCTTTGGGACAGTTGGGATAATAAATTGCGAAAAATGTAATAATACCAAGTGTGATAACGGGATGGTTAGTTTTGAGATCTCTCGTAGGGTGTTGGGATTGTTTGTCTGTGTATATGAATGTCTTGCAACTTTTTGTAAAATGTAATTTGTTAAAAAACTTAAGACAAAAAAAAAAAAAAAGGAATATTCCTGATATTGTTACGAACGATCAAGTTGGATTTGCATTGAATAGGCAGGCCACAGACAGAACTAGAAGGTTCATCAATATTATTAACTAGATTAGGATTATGGGATGCCTTCTCTGCTTCTATCTTTAATGGCGGCATTTGATAGAATACACTGGGGTACTTAAGGGAGGTTTTATTTAAATTCAGCTTTAGAACCCCACGTGTGGATGCAATATTTGCATTGTTTCATCATACCACTGCTAGAGTCTCGGCCACGAGTCAGAGAGTTTTCCTCTTACCAAGAGGTTGACCTCTGTCGCCTCATTTATTTTGGCAACGGAACCCCTGGCCAAACTTATTAGGAAAGATCCAATTATAAATGGGTGTTATGATTCATGATGTTAATCACAAGATCAGGCTTTTCGCTGATGACATCATTCTGTCTTTGCAAACCTAAGGTGGACAAGGTTAAGGTGAGACATGATGATAAACTAAAGGTGGTGTGAACAAGAAATAATCTGTTCATGGATGTTGCTGCAACAAATAATCTCAAAACAACGAGTGGGAAAATCAAGCAAATATTCAGAAAATATAATTTGCCGTACTACCTGCAACTGCCAGACAGGGAAGAGATCACCAAGACTACCCTGAAAAAAAGTGTGAAAGCCCTGGACACGTTTTACACCTTCCCTGGTGCTTTCTCAACATTAAGGTGGGACATGTCTTAATTGCGGCCACGCTGTTGGAAATGTGATACCCGTTATCAAAGAGGTGTTTATATTGACACTAGAAAATAAGAGCAATGAGTTAAACCTAAGGTTACCATCAAACACAACGGAATCATTGACATACCATCGGAATGTATGGGAGGAGAACACACTTCTTATAATGGAATTCCACTCGGAAGGGAGTACTTACGCTCCTTTTCCTGGTTACTTGTGCAACGTGTTCTAGTTACCGCCAATACATGTAAAGTAAAATATTTTCTCTGGTACCTTGAAAGAACCTATTTGACTGTATAAAGTGTACTTCATAATGTACGCGATGACAACTTAAAAATGAATATTCCCCCTTCTTATTTTTCTTTTGCTTAATTATCTGTTTCTTTTAGGTCTTGTTATGTATTCAAATATTTAATAGATTTTTCATTAATTATTGCAAAAATTCAAAATCTTTCAAGAATTTTTTTTTTTTTAAAGGGACATTTTTATATATAGTATACAGCATAATGCAGCTGTTCTAGTGAGTATAGTCAGTCCCTGCAAGCTTTGTGATGTAATTTATTTTAAAAGACAGTATTTACATTACAGCCTAGGGACACCTCCAGTGGCCATTCCTCAGATGGCTATTAGAGGTGCTTCCTGGGGCAGTGCTGCACAGTGTGACTGACTTTCAGCGTCTCCACCCTCCTCATGGAGACACTGAATTTTCCTTATCGAGATGCATTGAATCAATGCATCTCTATGAGGATATGTTGATTGGCTAAGGGGGCATTTGGTTCCCCCCCCGACTCACGTCCTTGGCTGAGATCATCAGAATTCCGAGGAGGTCAGCCAAGGAGACAGATTGGGGGCAGACCTGCGTGGTGCTGGAAATAAGGTGAGGGACAGTTAATTATTTTAACACAGGTTTGTGTTCCTGATCCAATACTGTTCCTTTAAGCGTAACGGCTGCTCTGGAGTCTAACACCCAAGTCAGTTCTGCTGAAGTTGGAGTATTGGGCCTAGATGTTAATTTGATGCATTTCCTTACTTATGGACACCTAGTGGATCATAGCCATCACTACAGCTCGTTCTGCACCATGAGACTGCTTCAATTTTATTTGCTTTTTAGATCTTTTTATGGTGAGTTTGTGAATAAAGCATAACTTGCAGTTTAAAAAAAAAAAAAAAAAAATGTAATTCCAACGTAGATATTTAAACCAGAAAGTTAACACATTGAGACTTGGTGTTGGTATAAAGAGGTTTTCCAGTTAAATCCACAAAGAATATCTGTACAGGAGCAATGCAGCACACACTTTCCCATGTTAACCGATTCCTCGTTTATATACTTATTGTCTTCAAACTGTGTAGACTGCAGGACAATACTTGCACACAGCTGTGTGAGAGCAGGACTGTTTGTTTTAAGGTTGTGTTCTAACTACTTAACCATTAATAAATCTAATTTCTATTCACCATCTACAGGAATTTCAAGTAATTTCTTAAATATTGCAGGAAGCTGGAATAATGGATACAATGCACTCAATAACTTTTCTTCCCAATATAAAACCGTGAATGAATTAAACCAGGGTCAGGCAACCTTCATCACTTCTAATGTCAAGGACTACATCTCCTGTTATGTTTGCCAGAACTACTGCTGTTAGAGCATTATGGGAGCTGTAGTCCACAATAACTGGAGTTAAACTGTAAATTTACATTTTGTAGTAACCCTGAAATTGATGCATTACAATTTAAAATTATTCATTTTTCATTTTTTAAAGAAACAAAACCCAACTACCTTTGTAATAAAGTGAATGACATCTAAACCAATTTTCTGGTAGAAGTGAAATGCTGGCTCCTGCTCAGAATTGCCCGTACAGAACACACATTACAAAGATTCAGTCACATTATTAGATTATGGCAAGAGGCAGCAACCAAGGTTTTTATATAAAGTAAAACAGAACTCCCTCAATATTCCTGTCTGGACTTCACACTGCACAGAAATACCAGAATTGGAAATAAAGTGTCAAGGTGGAAGTTAACGTAACCTCAGATAATGGGAATGCAGACACTAGTAAGTCCAGAAGCCTAGTATAATCAATAACATAGCGGAGACATATGGAAAGGCAGAGCCACTAAAAGTGTGTGTGTGAACACCGCCCATTCAGAAACAAGTAATACTCTCTTCCCTTCATCAATAATCAAGGGTTAATGTAACAGATTGATCTGTGCGAGTGCTCAATGCATGGGGCTCCACCTAATAATGGTAAGAGTGATCTATGCCAGTGCTCAATGCATGGGGCTCCACCTAATGGTAAGAGTGATCTATGCCAGTGCTCAATGCAACCTAATGGTAAGAGTGATCTATGCCAGTGCTCAATGCATGGGGCTCCACCTAATGGTAAGAGTGATCTATGCCAGTGCTCAATGCATGGGGCTCCACCTAATGGTAAGAGTGATCTATGCCAGTGCTCAATGCATGTGGCTCCACCTAATGGTAAGAGTGATCTATGCCAATGCTCAATGCATGTGGCTCCACCTAATGGTAAGATTGTCATTATTCAGGGATTCCTACATCTCATGCAGACTTTTTTTTTTTTTTTAAATGACACTAGTTCTAAATGGTCATGTTCAGCAGATTATCAATTCTGAGTTATGTTTTACCCCTAGGGATAAGACCTACTATTAATCAAGACACAGTAGCCCCACGCCAGCATACATGTAACCATTTGACATTAAACATTTATAAATCAGACAATATTCAGAGACAAGTGCTGCACGTCACACAAGTTTATTGCTAAAATTAATGCTCTAGCTAACCATATAATTTAAAGTTTAAAAGGAAAATAAAATGCAGTCTTTTAACATGGCTGAATTCAACGCTGAGAAGTCCAGCCTTAAGGAACGGTAACTACAAAAAGGGTTTAAAGAAGAGTAACGAAAAAAAAAAAAATTAAATAAAAACACGCACAGGAACAGCATCAATCAAGTTATCAGAGCTCCCCATCTTTAATGTCTATTCCTAGAGCGGCAGGCATGGCCCATGTTGCTCTCCAACCATACAGAATTTTCAACCTTATGAACATTTTTGCTGCCAGTAAGCTATTTCTCAACTGGAATCCAAGCACTCAGTTGGGATGTTTAGAAGAAAAACCACACAATTTTTAACCAAGTTGCTTTTTAAATATCACAGAAAGCGTCTCCTGCTCCACTGTATTCTTTACAAAATGCGCACGTTGGCACATGTGAAATCGGCCGCTGATAACACATCACGGCACTCTAAGTCAGCGTTCGCACTCCGTTCTAAAAGTTACACAACCTGAAATTGACAAAGAATAAAAATGGACAGAATGCTCAAAAAGCAATGTGTACAAGGGGATCTCTTCAGGTTACAAGCTGATTAAATGATCTTAAAAACATACAATTGGCATGTACATACAAGTAGGATTTCGTATCCTGTATATGTTCACACAAGAATTCCTGTCAGGTCAATATCCACACTCTTTGTGATATTTCTGGTTACAGAGTGATCTGGGTGGTTTGTGTAAACATTTGTTACACAACTCGGCCCTTTAAAAATTATTTTAATGTGAAGAGAGCAGACCGAATTTAGATCGCTGTATAAAATTTGATCGTTTCATAAATTGAAAAACAGACATTTAGCTGTTAAGCAAGAGGTAGACACTCATTGGATTCTAAAAACTACAGACCAGATGCCCCCCCAAAAAAGACAATTCTTGTAACCAAGTTTCACTTCCATGCAGATTCCCTTACGTAAAGCATCAATATGAACCTGCAATTTATTTTATCAGCAGTTTATTGTCCACAAGTTCCGCACAAGAAAACTTTAAATAGAAATCAAAAGGAAGATTTCTTTTTCAAATGCGAAAATTTATCAAAAGGGAATCCAGGGACCCAAAAAAACCCCACGAAACTCTCTAATGTAATGTCTTTCTCCCAGTATCTGGGATCCTGCAATCAGAAGAGGGAAGGGATCAGGAGTAAATTCATTTATGGATACCATTCCCACATCTGTCCAGGTTTCCTCCAGGCTCATCGGTTCAAATGAACCACAGGAGGAAAAAAAAAAAAAAAATCCAAACATATATGGATATATTTATATATTTAAATAAAGAAAACAAAACAAAAAATAAAGTTAAGAAAGATCTAGCACCATGGGCGCTCTGTTTTGAAGGTAGTTGGGGTGCACATCCTCAAGCTTCCTGTGAGAAAAGGGTGAAGGAGAAACGGATGCGATGCAGACCAACAGGAAAGTCCACTTCAATCCTGTGATACCATAATGCTTTGCAAAACATGGTAGGACTTTTTATATAAGTGTTCAGAAGTTATTTGCAAGGTCACAGTAAGATTGCAAGGTCCCAAGATATGAAATAATTGGCCACAGTTTTAGGAGGCAAAGCCAATGTCCTCTTCGCAAGATGTTCGCGAAGATCCGGTCACAGCCTCACTCCATGATGGCCCGGTACAGAGCTGGCTCAATGTAGTCTTCTCTATATCGAGAGTTGATGACTCTCTGCCGCTTCACTTCCTGTTTTACTTCCTTTTCAGTGAAAATTTCTGTGAAGCGCATGTCAGATGCCACAGACTGAGAGGAGGAAAATAAAAGTATTAGGGTCTGCGGGAACAAAGAACACAACATCTACATCCGCCATCGATCAGATCCAATCAGCACAGCTTACATGCCTTAAATTTTCTCAACTCTAACAAGACAGTAATGTTTAGCGCAAGACCAATAAAAGCTGCTTCATGCCAAGGATTGCTGGAGGAGAAGAAGCTTTAGTCTATGTCACTGGCAGAGTTAGAATACCCATATGGAATCAATGTTTTTATACACTTTCAATTAGTTTGACAAGCGCAATAATCCATGTGCTCTTTACAGCGACACCATTAAAGGACCACTATAGGCACCCAGACCACTTCAGCTTAATGAAGTGGTCTGGGTACCAGGTCCATCTAGGATTAACCTTTTATTTATTTTAATATAAACATAGTTTCAGAAAAACTGCTTTGTTTATAATATGGTTAATCCAGCCTCTAGTGGCTGCTAGAGGCGCTTGCGTGCTTCTCACTGTTAAAAAAAAAAAATCACAGTGAGAAGACGCCAACGTCCATAGGAAAGCATTGTAAATGCTTTCCTATGAACTGGCTGAATGCGCGCACGGCTCCTGATTTTAAACCCCTTCTTCTCCCCAGAGCCCGGCGGGAGGGGGACCCTGAGGATGAGGGCACCCTAAGGGCACTATAGTGCCAGGAAAACGAGTATGTTTTCCTGGCACTATAGTGGTCCTTTAAAGGTTTGTTTTTTTAGAACCAAGTTAAGCTGTGGTGACAAGCAGAAACCCCTCCCTTTGCTGCCAGCAGGCACAATTTTCAACCATAGGCAGCACAGCAGGACTATGGAAACACAACCAATGTGACGATGAATACAGTCCATCACGTAACTTACCAATCGTGTTTTTACTCTCTTTGGCAACTCCTCGTCGAGCGTATAAACATCATCTCTCTTCACGACTAGTTGGGAGCCATCCTCAAATTCCACCTAACACAAAAAAAAAAAAAAAAAAAATTTAAAACAAACATTTGAAACTTTTTCTCTCCTTTAAGTGGTGCCCAGACACCCTGGTTGTACCAGTTTATAAAATAGGAGATGGTTGGTAAAACTCAGGGATGATCATGGTGTTACTATGCAATACGTGCTTTGTATTGATGTGATCAGCTAGGTCACAATCAACATGTGCAGAGATTTATCAAAGTGATAAAAATCAGTCGTTTTATTGCACTGGGCCAGGGTTTTTTTAACCAAAAAAAAAAAAAGTTTTCAGTTAATAAAATATGAAATTTGAAAACAAAAATAAGACACTTGGATAAATCTCCCACTTTGGGTTATCTAAAAATTCCCAGAGTTTACATATGATCGACTAAAAGGGACACTCCAGTCTCCTAAAGTACTTCAAGCAAGAATTCCCAATGCTTCTCGGACTGGACACAATCAATATGAAGGACCAGTATTGCCCCAACAGACAATCTTTAAAATCATTTTGTGTATTCTTTTATATAAGAAAATACAGGATTTGCTGGTGAAGACCATGTGCAGCTGCAGACAGTGGGTAAGATGTTTAAAACCAAAAGCTTATTTTGAATTAAACCAGTTACTTGCAAGTTATAAAAAGGCCGTTCAAGTTACAAATTTGACCAGGTTTCGGATACTGCGAATTGTCAAAGTCCACTAGAATCATATCTTTGGGTTTCACTCACTTGGTACATCTGAATAGTGTGCGAGGCCACGAACTTTGCTCCATAAGTCAATCCATCTGTCCAGCGGACCTGAACAATATCTCCTGCAGGCGGAGGACCTGCATTAAGACAGTCACGACTCTGTAGGACAGGAGAGTTAAAGATCTGGTGAGACACATAGCTTCTGAATTTGGATACAAATATTATACTCGTGGAACAGAGGTTGTAAGTGGAAAACTTATTCACAGGTTAAATTGTGGCATTAGTAGCAAAGAAATAACATTGAGCCCAAACAGGAAGTGTTTATCATTACTACTCTCTTCCCCCCCCGCCCCCCCACATATGTATATTTGAAATTGTTATAAAGTATCACATCTGTCACTTTGAAAAAATAAATATAATGGTTTCCTTTTTAAAACGAAGCAATAAATGTACCAAAACCCCTTATTAACCATTAACATAAGAAAGGCTAGACAAACAAAACCTAGTTTATGTTCTGTTCAAACAGACGGGTTCTGCTGTTCACAATAGTTTTACCAATTTAGTTAGAACACTAATTTAGTGTTAGTGACGGGTTATACTAGGTTGCTAGTGTATTCGCTGCTCGATAAGATCATTAAAGGAACACTATAGTCACCTAAATTACTTTAGCTAAATAAAGCAGTTTTAGTGTATAGATCATTCCCCTGCAATTTCACTGCTCAATTCACTGTCATTTAGGAGTTAAATCACTTTGTTTCTGTTTATGCAGCCCTAGCCACACCTCCCCTGGCTATGATTGACAGAGCCTGCATGAAAAAAAAAACTGGTTTCACTTTCAAACAGATGTAATTTACCTTAAATAATTGTATCTCAATCTCTAAATTGAACTTTAA